TTATCGACCAATTGTCGGTGAAATCTTTTAATTCCATTGCTTGAATTAATACATAGGCAGACGGGATGTGGAAAAAATTAGCGACTATTGACCGACAAATGGACTGTTTTGATTAAAATTGACAAAAATTAAATAATTAAAGTACAAAATTATTAGTTTTAAAAATTGTGGATAAAATTAACAACACTTCAATAACAATAAGACTAAAAGTTAAATTAACTCAACAACAAAATTATTAATAGATTTTAATAATTTTGTTTATAATTATTTTGAATATTTAAGTATATATATATTGCAACAGTAATAGATTAAGAACTAAAAATGCTAGTAAGAAATAATTGAGAAACTAAAATTGTCTTTTTTTTTCTTTCTTAAATTTCACGGAGGAACCAAAAATAATAATTTTACTTTTCAAAATATTTTTTTTTGCTTGAATTTTGGTTATGGTGATCAGAAATTAGGTTGAGATTAAAATATGCTACTTTACACCCCATCCGCCAACAAGCCAAGACACAAAGATAACTAAAAAAAAAAAAAAAACTACAAATTTCCAAAAAGCAAACTGTCAGGCATATGAATTTCAAATCCATTCACTAAGAAACCAACAAATAAATTTATTCCTAGATCAACAACATTAAAAAAAAATTACCTAATTGAAGCATGTGTTCTGGCTCTGAAACCAAATTGAAGCATGTGCTCCATCTCAACTAAAAGTCTAAGCTGATAGCTGGATTGCACATTAATGGCTATATGCTCACGTGTGTGGTGGGTTCCAAACAACACGTGGACCGTAGTCGCTTATTGGGTGGCGTAGAGATTCAAACCCATGACCTTTGGTCTGGGCTCTGATACCAAAGATTTGCCCTTTTTCTTTTGTCTTGTTGCTTTTAGTTTAACTGCCTAATTAACATTCAAATTTCAAAGCATGAATTTTTCGTCAAAGGTTGTATGCTCTTACCTTTTTTCATATGTATATCTGTTTTTTTTTCCAAATATAGGATATGTATATCTAAATTCATAGCCTAAGTTCAAAAAATTTAGGAAGTTAAAAGGTTTTTCTACCAAAAATAGAGTCACGCCTCAAACCTATACGCCTCTTGAATAAACCCAAAGCATTCAAATCGATGAGTTCAATCAATCCATAGCCCTGGTTCGCCCACTCGGTGTCGTGTGAACGTCATCTATAACTCCCATTCCAGTTACTAAAACACAATGAACCAATGAAGCATTAATAGTATCCACCAGCCCGGGTTTATTATAAATCATATGTCCAAATAAAATAAAAAATAATTAACATAATAATAATAAATAAATAAACAAACAAACAAACAAATAAATAAATCTTTACCCCTTGTTGAAGGGTATGAAAATCTGCGTCGACGCACAACACTCCAATTAGAGGGTGTTTCTTGAGTGTCACCCATATCTCCCATTGTGTTTCAGTTGTATATTGAAGTATTTTTGTACTTCGAGCTTTATACTTGACAAACTGTAAAAAAAAAAAATTAAAATATTAGTAAAAAATTTAAAATATTAAATATTAATTATAAAAATATTTAAAATTTTTATAAAATATAAATTTATTTAGTTATTAAAATACTAACATCATCAGTATTTTGCCTTAGACTTATTTCATTTCTGAACCCTTGAAAATAGGGGTGGCAATTTCAATCCGCCCCGCGGATATCCATCCGAATCCACCCCGCGTGGGTCGGATTTAAAAAAAAAAAACACCTAATTGAAGCATGTGCTCTGGCTCTGATACCAAATTGAAGCATGTGCTCCATCTCAACTAAAAGTCTAAGCTGATAGCTGGATTGCATATTAATGGCTATATGCTCACGTGTGGTGGGTTCCAAGCAACACGTGGACCGTAGTCGCTTATTGGGTGACGTAGAGATTCGAACCCATGACCTTTGGTCTGGCTCTGATACCAAAATGAAGCATGTGCTCCATCTCAACTAAAAGCCTAAGCAAATAGTTGGATTGCACATTAATGGCTATATGCTCAACACACCTGAGGGGATGTCGGAGTTCTGATTTGGCCTACGGGCAGTCGGATCTTCTTCGGCGAAAGATCGAACTGGCGGCTCCGACCTCGCCGCCGGTGAGGTAGACGAAGACACCGACGACCTGAGTTGAATCAAGGTCGGAATTGTCGAAGACCTCAGCATTGTTGCGGAGACGGTTTTACAGGCGGGCTAGGGTTTAGGGCAGCGTAATTCAGTTGAATTGCGAGATATATTCTGTATTTTTGCCGACACGCCGAAGATTGAAGTGACGGGGACGAAGACCCCAACGACCTGAGTTGAATCGAGGTCAGAATTGCCGAAGACCTCGACGTTGTTGCGGAGACAGTGTTACAGGCGGACTAGGGTTTAAGGCAGCGTAATTTAGTTGAATTGCGAGATATATTATGTCTTTTTGCCGGCACGATTATTTCACTTTCGGTTCCACAACTTTTGAGGTTTTATCACTTTTGGTGTACAACTTTAAATTTTTTCAATTTTGCTGTTTAACTAAGTTATTTTTATCAATTTTGGTTTTTTTTTTTAGACCAAATTAATGGTGAAATTTTGCTGAATTTTATATTTTATGGGTAAAATCGTCATCACAAGGAAACATTTTTAATATCTAAACAAAACCACTATAAAATCATATCTATAGGTGTTTGATTGATGAGAATAATTGGGAAGACGGGCATAAACTAGACACAGATCTATGAGATTTATAGTGTTGAAGATTGACAAACTCTTCTTTTTTTTCTTAATATGATTTTTCTTTTGTTTAGATATTGAAGATCTTTCCTCTGGATGGTGATTTTGCCCTTAAAATATACAATCCGGCAACATTTCATTATCAATTTAGTCGGAAGGACCAAAACGGATAAAAATAACAAAGTTAGACACCAAAATTGAAAAAAAAATTAAAGTTGTGCACCAAAAGTAATAAAACTTCAAAAGTCGTGGGATCAAAAGTGAAATTAATTTTTTTTAAAAATTTAAAAAAAATTGTTTTTCACTTGTCCATAACGACGTTTTTCTCCTCGCAATCGCATTGTTTCGTCTTCAGTATGAATTTACAGTGTACAAATTATGAATCTACAGTATTAACTTTGTGAACATGTGATAGAGCTATATGTTCATAATTTTATAAATAAATGTTCATAATTTGTAATATTCCTAATTGTTGACTCTGTATTCACAAGTCACAAAATTATATGTTCATAATTTGATAATTATACAATTTAGAAATTATGAATCTACAGTACATATATTATGAATCTACAGTATAGAAATTATGAATGTACGGTATAAAAATTATGAATTTACTGTATTTAAATTATGAATCTACGGTATAAAAATTATTTCCCCTCTAACTCTTCATTTTCATAAAATTTAGTACATTTTTAACTCATAAAACAACAAAAAGAGTTAATTTCATTTTTTGTCGTACAATTATTGGGATGTTGTCAATTGATTTCACGATTTTTAAAACTAACAATTTAGTATTTTATTATTCAATTTTTATCAATTTTAGTCAGTCCGATCAAAATTATCGACCAATTGTCGCCGAAATCTTTTAATTTCATTATTTGAATTAATACAGAGACGGAAGGAATGTGGATAAAAATTGACGACAATTGACCGGTAATTTGACTGTTATGACTAAAATTGATAAAAATTTAATAGTTAGAGTACTAAATTGTTAGTTTTGAAAATTATGGATGAAATTGACAACATATCAATAATCATAGGATCAAAAGTTAAATTAACTCAACAACAATATTATTAATAGATTTTAATATTTTTTTTTTGAATGCTACTAGCTCTATTACATTGTAATAGATTTTAATATATTTTTTTAAATATTTAAGAATTTATATTGCAACAGTAAAAAAATTAAGAACTAAAAATACTAGTAAGAAATAATTAAAGGACTAAAATTGTATTTTTTTTCTTTCTTAAATTTCACTGAGGAACCAAAAATAATAATTTTGCTTTTCAAAATAATTTTTTTGCTTGAATTTTGGTTATAGTGATCAGAAATTAGGTTGAGATTGAATATGACAACAATTTAAAAATTATAAAATAATGTAAAAAATGTATAGACTAAATTTAGAAATGATTTTATATTCATGAAATAAATATGGTAAAAATTCCAATTATTCATTTTATAAATATCAAAATATAATTATTTTTTTAAGGGAAAATGACACTTTTTTCCCCTGAATTATACACCTATAGCATTTTCCCCCCTAAATTATTGAAGTGGCTGTTTTTTTCCCTTGAAATGTTAAATGGACATATTTACCCTTAAACTAAATATTTAATTTATTTTTTTTCTCCAACAAATTATGACCATAATTTGGTTCAAACCAAACAAACACTATAGCAACCAAACCGAAATATTTCAATTACAATTTAGAATCAAAATTCGATATTTAGAGTTTATTAAAATCGTGAACCGGAACGGACGGTTCATGTTCCGAACTGAAAAAATTAAAATAGATTTATTGGTGAATTTAGACTATTTTAAAATAAAGAATAAAATTTTAAAATAAAGACTGTTCAAAATCGCGAATCGGATCCGGAACCGCCGGTTCACGGTTCAAGATTCAATTTTTTTGATACATAATTTTAATAAATTGACATTTAAATATTGGGTTCTAGATCTGAATTATAACCGGAAACTATTAATTCGATTGCTTTAGTATCCGGTTCAATTCAAACCGAACCGTGGCCATCCCTACGTATACGCAATAATTTGTTGGAGTAGTAAAATAAATAAAATGTTTACTTTAAGGGTATAAATGTCAATTTAATATATCAGAGGAGAAAAAGCGCTATTTTTAGAATAATTGAGGGGGCTAATGTGCTTACTTAAATAATTGAGGGGAAAAAAGTGCTATAAGTATATAACTCAGGGGTAAAAAGTGCCATTTTCCTTTTTTTAATAATAAATTCAGAAAATTGCACCAACTGAATAAATTCAAAGAGTCACATGACACTAGAGTACTTGAGCACAAAGACTGTGCCAATCAATTCAGATATCCTCTGAGCTTGCCATGGAGATTCCTCAGAGATTCTCTCTGCTCTTCATCTTCTTCTTCTCCATCGCTGCACTGGGTGGACTCTCAGCTTATAACAATGAACAAGATTCCACCATCAAGACCATGGAGGAGTTCTCTGGGTACCCAATTCACGAGCCCCACTTTCCAAATTCAGTTTCTTCTTTATCGGTGGACACTCTCTCTCTGCAAAAACAGGTGCTTTTTGCCCTCCCTCCATACCCCTATCCCCTTTTCAGGCTTAATTTATCCTAAAGACTGAATCTGTACTATTCTCTTGTGAAGTGTTGATGAAATTGTAGTTTTAACTGAACTGGGATTGATTTTTATTGCCAAAAGTAAAAAGGAAAATAGGGAAATAGGGAAAAAGATCACTTGATTTTTGGTGTTCTATGACTCTTTTTTGGGGTCCTATGAGGGCAACTTGTAGTATTTATTTTGCTCATAGCTGACCAGCTTAAACCGAATAATACTAATGGGCTTCTTTCATTGGGAGTCGAATTTATAATATTGTGTTCTATGACTGAACCATTGAGTCACCGTGATTGGGGCAATTGTTTCCTTGTGGGCACTGGCATTTGGCTCTGTCTACTGAGCCATGGGGCAATTGTTTCCTTGTGGGCACCGGCATTTGGCCCTGTCTACTGAACCATTAAGTCACGTGATTTACATCCTCCCACATGCTCTGTCGGGTCGGAGTGTGGGGCTCTTAGGGTTGGGGATTCAGCCTTTTGGGACAAGATTGGGGCAATTGTTGATTCCATAGATAACTATTTTCCATGTAACTTACTGTGTTTCTGTATTCTCATATTTTAGATTGATGAGCTATCAACTTTCTCAGATTCACCTGCACCTTCAGTAACTAGGGTGTTGTACAGTGAGAAGGATGTAGTGGCAAGGAGGTATATATGCAAACCTTTCATCTGTTCTGTGCACTTCGAATCTCGTATTGGGTAACAAGTAGCTTATAACATGATATCGGGTTCTTGATCAGAGTTGATTGATATTTTGATGAAAAGTACTACTATACATACATCTCAGAATGTGTTAGTTATGAAATCGCAAATACTTAAGGTTAAATCGAAATGTTTTTCTGAGGTCGTAAAACATTTGAGTCCTATAATGTGCCCTTTATTCTCACTGTATTATGCAGGTATGTAAAGGATTTGATGAGTCGTTCTGGTCTCTCTGTACGTGAGGATGCAGTAGGCAACATTTTTGGTCGGTGGTAAGCAATAATTTCACTCTCTTATATTCCTTCAAATATTCTTTTTGTTTTCCTTAGCGGTTGGCTGCAAGTACACATCTGAATAATCGATCATTTACTATAGGAATGGCTATGAACCTGAGCTAGCCCCAGTTGCAACGGGCTCACACATTGATGCCATACCATTCTCGGGGAAATATGATGGCGTGATTGGTGTTTTGGGTGCAATCGAGGCAATTAATGTATTGAACAGGTAAACCGTAAATTTTCTTTATTCGGAAGGCTTTCTTGAACCTCCATTTTCTACTATGTACATTTTAACATAAACGAACTATGTCACAGATCTGGCTTCAAGCCTAAGAGGTCACTGGAAGTAATCATGTTCACCTCAGAAGAGCCTACAAGGTTTGGGATCAGCTGCTTGGGAAGGTTAGAACCAGATTACGATACTAAGAACGTAAAAAAGATACCCACTCGTTTGCTACGTTCATTACCTAATCTCCATTTGGCGTCTCTCTTTTGCTTTGGCCCTGTTTGGTAAAATGGCTGTTAGCTGATTGTGTTAATTAGAGGGTATAAATAGTTGATAACATTAGCTGATTGTAGAAAAGTGTTTGGTAAATTAGCTGTTAGCTGATAGCTGTTTGGTATAATTTCTTTTATCAAAAAGCTAATTGAAAAAGTTGCTTGGAGTAGCTTTTTGAATTTTAGCCTTTTGGAGTTGCAAAAAGCTAATTAACCAAACATTTATATTGATATTTTAACTAAATCAAACAATTAATAGTGGTCAAATAAGCCAAAATTGTCTCTTTCACTTCTTTTTCTTTACCTTTAAAATGATTTGCACCGTGTAATTGGAGGCCAGATGTCCATCGTGGTTCTTAGAATTTTATGCTTATGAAATTTGCAGCCGCTTAATGGCGGGGAGTGTGGAACTTGCCAAACTTCTCAAGAAGACAGTGGATGGTCAAAATATTTCGTTTGCTGATGCTGCAAAGTCTGCTGGTTACGGGAATGCTCTAGACTTTTCCAGCGTGCTCTTAAAGAAAGGAAGTTATTCTGCGTTTATAGAACTGCACATAGAGCAAGGTCCCCTTCTAGAAGAAGAAGGTAGAACCTTTTTTTTGTTTTTTTTCTTAAATTATTGTCTTGCAGATACCTTATTAATGCTTTCAGTTCGACTCGTGATCTTTTACCTTCTTGATTTTTTCATCTTTCTCTGTAGCTCTACCTATCGGGGTTGTGACTGCGATTGCTGCTCCCGCGAGTATCAAAGTTGACTTCGAAGGCAATGGAGGCCATGCTGGAGCTGTTCTGATGCCAAAGAGGTAATTCTTTTCACTTTATGTCGATTAACCTACCTCAAACCTCCTATTTTGCTCGGGCTTGGGACCGGGACTTCTAATAAACTTCCCCGCCTTTTCTTTATCTTAAGACATTTATAATCCATTTAGAAATACATTGTTGCAAACAAATCTTTTTGGACAGAAACGATGCTGGACTGGCTGCCACGGAGTTGGCACTAGCAGTAGAGAAACACGTATTGGACTCGGGATCAATTGATACAGTTGGCACTGTTGGTAAGTTACTTTTCGGATTTTTCTATCCCAATGTCGAAATATTCTGTTAGAGAAAAGAACCAGATAGACTAGAAACTAAAGAAAAGAAATAGGAAGTCACAAGACTTCCCCCAACAAGAGTTTTAGGCTCTTGCCCCACAAGAGTTTTAGGCTCTTGCCTAGCTACTAAAAGCTTAAAGACTAAGGAAGATTATTGGATGATTTACTCTCATCTAGAGATTCTAATTTATAGTGCTAGGAAATAAATAATTATAGAAAGGAGATGATTGTTGAGATGATTATGCCTCTATTTATTTTAGTCAAATCCCTTGAGTTAAGCGTTCCTTGTATATTCTGATTTGCCTGATTTGCATCCTTCCTTTTTTTTCTGAGTAAACCATCTCTTATTTTGGGTGCGTATCATATTCGAGAAGAAGATCCGAGGCTCGTTATATCCTCATTCTAATATGTCCAATTTGAAAACATTTTTTTTGTTTTTTAACAAGGTATTCTGGAGCTGCATCCAGGAGCAATAAACAGCATCCCGAGCAAATCACACCTGGAAATAGGTATTCTCTTTATAAATCGAAAAAAAAAAAAAATCTGTGTTTTGCCTTATGCAATTTAACAATTTCGCTTCTGCAGAATATTCCCATACTAATTTTCCTATGTACCCATGCTGCAGATACACGTGATATAGATGAAAAGCGAAGAAATGATGTTGTTGAGAAAATACGTGAGTCTGCCTTAAGCATATCCGAGAAACGTAGAGTGAAGGTGTCAGAATTTAAAATAGTGAACCAAGATCCTCCTGCCCTTTCCGACGAATCAATCATTAGAGCAACAGAATCAGCGTGCCGGGAGCTAAATTTGAGTTACAAGAAAATGATTAGCCGAGCCTATCATGATTCCTTGTTCATGGCCAGGTAAGTGGAGTTAGGAAACAAAAAACATCATTCTTGAATTGAAATTGGAGATGTGTTCAGTGCATTTTATGCAAGAACTTCGAAAAGCTTTACATCTGTTACTGTTAAAAATCTCTCGATTTATAATATTACACCGCTTCTTTGCAGAATATCTCCAATGGGCATGATATTCATTCCATGCTACAAAGGTATGTATCCAACGCTTTCAATTCCCTAAACATGTTGCAACTTGTTCGTACCACCCGAGCCTGCATTTTCCATTTCTACAACTATTCAATCGGTGCATTAAAGAACGGGGTGGGGAATGACAACCCCATTGAACTGGGGTGGAAGATTTACGACTATAATTAGTATGACATATATATATATATATATATATATATATATATATATATATATATATATATATATACTTATGATGCGTATTGGCTTCTATCTTCTGCAGGATACAGCCATAAACCCGAAGAATTTGCAGGTGTTGAGGATATTGCAAATGGTGTGAAAGTATTAGCATTCACTCTTGCAAAGTTGTCCTTGTCTTGATATGCCTTGAACACAAGAAAGATCAGAAGAGTAACGCTAATATTTGCTTTCAAGTGATTGCTAGTTTGAAAGCTTACAATCCAACAAGAAGAATAGTTCCCTTTGTAAGGCTAATATTCAGCAAAGCATGGTGTAACGCTAATAAGACTTTGCTTAATTAAGTTATTTTTAGTCTAAATATATATGGAGTACAATTTTTATATTTAAAAAGAAAAATGGTCAAATAGGTTTCTGAACTTTACTCGAAAAGTCAATTATATTTTGAAACTTTTGAAAGTTATAATTAAACTCATAATTCATAAACATGTTATTTTGAAGCATTGAAGCTCAGAAATCGGTTGGTGACATGTAATTACAAGTTACCTAGAGTTTTGGTGACCCTCCCACCATTTTCTAGCAAGAATCATAGGTGACCGGACGATCGCTGGTCGCATATGGAGGAGGCGACCAACTGGTCTGCCTTCTCCTTCGCCTAAGAAGGCAACCAGTTTGGTTGTCTCTTCCAAGCGCGATCGGTGATCGTTCGGTCGCGCGGTCGCCTGTGATTGTTGCTAAAAATAGTGGAAGGGTCGTCGAAACTCGGTAATTTGTAATTACATGTCACCAACCGATTTCTAAGCTTCAATGCTTCAAAAGAAGAAGAAGAATATAAACAAGAATAGAAGATGGTGTAGGTTTGTGGGTGATAGGGCATGAAACAAATTATCCTTTGAATAAAAGAATTTGATGGGTTGGTAAGGTCTAGCTTTTTATCATTTTGTCATCAGGCCAACTTATATTATATTTATAATAATCAAAATCACAGCTCACAATTGCACTCACAGGTGCCACCTCAAACCAACCCCATCCACCATAATCTACATTTGATCACCCTCTTAACATATAATCTAATAGAAATTATTCTATTCTAAACTTGGCGGCAACAGTATAGGAATTATGTTTGAAGTGGGTAAATCTTTTGTGTGTATCAATATTTAGTTATGTCTGTTGAGCCATTGAGTCACTGTGATTTACATTCTCTCAAATGCTTTGTCGGGCGGGATGTAAGGGGTCATTTGGGTTGGAGATTCAACCTTTTGGGAGAAGAAGAAATTCTTCTACTCAGTAATAAATTATTATCAATTCGAATGAGGTCAGATTCAAAACTTTTTAACATACATGTTGCACCAGCTTTTTACAAGACTCAAACCTTTTATTTTGTAATTGTATTAGCACTTGGTTAAACAGTTATTAACAAGTTCATAATTACTATTCGAATGTGTATTTTGTTGGGTGATGTCTTGCCTTGTGATCCCAGTTAGCAAAGAATCACAAAGAGGTAAATTAAACTAGCTCACCTTGTGATCCTAACTAGCAATAGACCACAAAGAGGTAAACTAGCTTATGACTGTAATTGGCAAATGACCACGAAGAGGTAAATCAGTCAAAATTGTCCATAGCTAACAGACTCAAAACGAGAATACCATAATCAAACTTGAAACCTTGTCTGACTAACACGATTGGGTTATCCCAAATTGGCATTAATCAACTACATATACATAATCAACAATGTCATAGTATATAATACAATTTTCTAGCATCTCTTAACTAACAAAGATACAGGTTGAGGATAATTATGTAACAATCATTGACTTATATATTCTTGTTAATCATAAATTTAATCAAACTTAGTTTGGATTTTTTCAACAAATGATTTACCTATCACATATTTTAATGTTAAAATATTCACAAAACCCTATTATGGAATTGCTTTTAAGTCTGCATACACTATCTCTCTGATTGCTACTTTGAAAGCTTACAATCCAACAATCATTAAGAATATTCTGCATGAAACAAATAGTCAAAATTTTGAATAAAGTAATATTTCTTAACAAAGTAAATTAAACCAAATGGTGGCCCCTATTAATTATTACTCCGTATTATTTTTAGTAAAATTATATTTGGCTGCATGCTAGTTTGTAGGAAAATAAATAATCCAAAAACTAAAAGATAAAGTAAAGCGTTTCACAAAAAATTAGTTGGAAGTTTGGTGAGTGCCAAGGGAAAAAAAAATGGTCACACGAATACATATACTATAGTAATAATTAAGTATATGATAAGGTATATTCCCAAGATGTTTATATAGTATAGTATATAGGTGCCAAGTAGCTTATAATTTGAGTAAAAATAACTAATTACTATCTGAGGGTATGTATTAGCATAAAATGACATTATAAGTGACTATTTTGTGGTACAAATATATGTGGGTCTACTTTTGATTTGGGTCGGGTCAAAGTAGATTCGAACTCTTCGTAGTGAGAGAAGAAATCGATATATTGTACGCTCAAAACGGATAATGGGAGAATGAGAAATTGATTATCAAAGTATACCCATTTGAGTTGGAAAATGAAGGTGCAGTGGAAAGACGTACTTTGAAAAGAGGCTCTTTCTCGCATGCAGGGGTGGCCCACTGGTTACTAGCTATGTGAGGTATGCAACTCTATGCAATTAACTTGATCGGGAGGGTGTTGGTAAGAATTGAACTCATGACCTTCTTATACGAGCTCAAATATATCATACTCTACTCACATGGCCACCCTTTCGGAATGTGTTATTAGTATTATTGGTTTTGGTATGTAGTAGTTGTGTGCAAAGTATATATATATATATATTGCAACTTTATCGATCTCTATACACTTGCAACTTTATATCTCTATACACCTAATTATATTGCATTGGGTGGTTGATCCTGCTAACCCCTTTATTCTCATACCAACAATATAATAGTTTTGCAATATAATCTGGTATTGTTTATGAACCATCCAACAGGCACCATTTAATTTATACATTATTTTTGTTCCATTCTTTAATTAATCAAGTAATTAAATTAATTCTATTTAATTACGATGCACCAACTAAATGATCACCATATATTATAAAGTATATCTATTCAGAACACCTTTTTTTTTGGGTTTTGTTTACAATATGTATTGGTTGGTGTATATATGCAGATTTATTCAAAGTTCTATGGATACGTATACACTTTAGTCTCCACTACAGATTTTAAAAAATGAAATTATTTAAATAATTAAATTAGGAACCACTCCAATACAAATAATACATATCTCTTTTGGGATTCTAAAGGGGATAAAACATGATTCTCGTACTAGAATGTAGAATGCCACAAGTTTATTTTTACTAGTACTTTTCCAGTCAAACTTGCCACACAAGATTTTTCTATTATGATTTACCTCTCTTGTGTGAATTTATTTAATAATACATACCTTTAAATAATGACTACAAGTTTTCTTTGTGTGTGTGTGTGTGTATATATATATATATATATATATATATATATATATATATATATATATATATATATATATATATATATATATATATGACATGTAAAAGGCCGGAGTGGGTGAGTTTAGTTGCATCAAAAGATGAAGTGGGTACCAAGGACCTTGTGGTCCAATGGTATCTGGTTTGCTCCCCTAAGTGGGAGGTGATAGGTTTGAGCCTTATTAGAGGTGATTAGTTGTTTGGGTATTCTCATTCCCTTGTAAAAAAAAGATGAAGTGGGTACGTTCTTGATTTTTCCTTTTTAAAATACTATACAAGGAAGCTCACCTCGTTAAACCAAAGACGATTATATAGACTTTTGTGTAATAGTTCGCGATAAGCTTGACTAAGAAAGTATTTGTAAAATTTGAACTCGTGACTTGATACGAGAATTATATTTCACTTGCTCAAGGCGCTACACGAGAATTAAGCACTGATACAAAAACTGATTTAGACAGCTTAATATACCACACCCCCCCCCCTCCCCCTCCCCCTCCCCCTCCCAATGAGACTAAAACTCATAATCTTCTATTTGTAAGAATCACTTCATGCCACTTAACTACAAGATCATCTTTGGCTATTAGCAATATAAATATGATGTGAAATACTGAAATGGATGATTAAATATTATATTATGACACCGACCATATACTAGGAATTCCATTTTTTTTTTAATGAGCAATGTTATATATATATATATATATATATATATATATATATATATATATTAAACATGAGCAATGGTTGTTAAATATAATGTTACATGTTTTAATTAAATTTCAGGCATTTTGAATTTTGACACTTGTTATTACACGTTATATATATTATTTAAAACATGTACCACTTTTGTAATCATAATATGTTAAATCTTAATGAAACTTTTTTTTTTTTGTGACGAGAAAAATTCACAACTACTAGCTAAGGGTATACATTGCATAAACCCCACTCTTGTGTAATAATTCGTAAATGTACCACACAAGAGATGTAAACCACAATAGAAAGACTATATGTCTACGTGTAACAAGCTCAACCAAGAGAGTGTTGACATTAGCTAATAGAACTTTATCAATCATGGAAAGGGTGGATATAAGTAGATAAAATCTATATATGGTGTGCAGTTAACATTTATCATGATTGTTATATATATATAAAAAAAGCATTTATCATGATCTATAATTAAATAGCACAAAAATAAAAACAAAAAAGGAATAAGGTCAAATAGGTCCTTGAACCGCATACGATAATGTAATTAGGCCACTGAACTCAAAAAAATTACAATCGAATCCCTAAATTAACTCATTAAGAATTTGTTCAATTTGCAGGTTTTCCCCCTTTTTAAAAGGTCACCCAATTTAAAATATTTTTTAAAAATAATTTTTTAAAAAAATTAATTAAATAAACTAAAATTAGAAAAAAAAAACTTCGTCTCCATGGCCGAAGACGGTGTTTTTAAAAAAAAATAGTTTATTTTAATTATTTTTTGTTAAAAAATTATTTTTTAAAAATATTTTAAATTGGGTGACATGTTAGAAAGGGGGAAAACCTGCAAATTGGACAAATTGCTTGAAATCGATTAGTTTAGAGACTCAATTGTAGTTTTTTTGAGTTCAGTGACCTAATTGTATTATTGTGTGCGATTCAATGGCCTATTTGACCCTTATTTCAAATAAAAATAAAAATAAAAAAACGAAAAAAATGTAACTAATGATGTATCAATTTAACCAACCAGCTCAAACCATCGAGTTAATCCAACTAATTTTCTTATTGTGTTTAATCTTTTCATCCTTAACCTACTATTCCTTCTAATCTTTTCGAATTAACTCATCGTTTTCTAGTTAGATTAACATCTCAAAACAAACGTAACATGATTCAGTCAATTTTAAGTGGGAAAAAGGGAAGATAAGTGGGAAAAAGGGAAAACGGAGGTTGTGGGGGTGTTATCAAAAGGGTTAGAAGGAGAGAGCTTATGGGAGGGGACTAAGCAATAATTGGTCCACATACATCACTTGTGCCACTAATCATGTTTTAGTTGAGACATTTGACAACCCAACTCTCTTGTGGTTAGAGCATCAAGATAAAGGAAATTTTTTGCTTTGCTACTTTAATCAAGAATGGTGGAGGGATTCATCTATCTACCTCAATTTAGCTTCTTTTTCCTTTTTTCTTTTTCTTGAATTTATTCATAATTTCTTCTTTGACTTGAATAGAAGAAATTGTAGGTTATCCCAACCAAAAAGATACATTATATTTAGGCATAAGGGCAACCTCAACTACATTTGGAAGTTGGACTGCACAATATAATGTTGATCAATAGTTGTAACCTTTTGCACTTTTTCAAACCTAATTAGAATTTAGAAGATTGCTTGAAACTTTCTCAAACTTTCATAGCATTATCTATCGTATCATATATGGTTCTTTTATGCAGGTGAAGGGTATGCTTTAAACTTCATTATTTGGTTCAAATATCTAATCTTATACTCATGGTAAAAATGTACAAAGAATTGACCAAGATTCCCGAAAAAGGTACGGTGATCGAGCTGAGTGGTTGAAATAATATAATATTTTTGTATCTAAAGGTCACAAGTTCGATTTCCGTCGTATAAGGTAGGTCTTCCTAATGTGATTTATCATCAGTGTGGCGTGCAAGGCTATTACATAAAGTAGCTTATGGGAGGAAGGTTAAGAATGCATAAAATAAAAAAGGAATAACGTTCAAATTGGTCACTGAACGTAACCTGAAAATGCAATTAGGCCAATGAACGAAAAAAAAAAGAGGTACAATTAGACCACTGAACATTCCAAAAACGTGCAATTAGGCCACTGAACACTCCAAATGTATGCAATTTCACCGGATAGCAGGTTACCTGTTTACGTGGCAGTTGAGTTGGCATTTTTATTAATTTTTAATAAATTTTAAAAAATTAAATAATTTAAAAAAAAAAAAAAAAAAAAACAACTCCGTCATTTTAATTTTTTTTTTTTAATCAGATGAAATTGCATACATTTAGAGTGTTCAGTGACCTAATTGCATTTTTTTTTTCTTTTTTTTCGTTCGGTGGCCTAATTGTATTTTCAAGTTACATGTACGGGCTAATTTGAACCTTATTCCAATAAGAAATTTGGAAAGTATCTGTAACTTGTCTTTTGGTATACAAAACATTGCCTAACAGGCACACAGCCACACAACCACAAAGTCAGAACTACCATATGCAAAAATCCAAGAAATACAAAAATAAAATAGTTAATCATACACCAGTACACCACTACCCAAAGTGCAATTCTATTCAATCATATAGCATCCATTATTCCACAAAATTTTCAATAAGAATCATTTAATATTATCTGATTAAGTGAGTGGAATATAATTATCGTATTAGAAGTTTATGAGTTCTATTCTTACAAACAGTCTATTGGTCTAGTCCACAATAACACATTAAAAAGTTTAACTCCTTAACATGTCACGCTATTGTGAAATTTTTTATATGATGATGATTATTGTTAAACCATTTTTTGTAACATCATCTAAGTGGCCAAATAATGGCCTCTTTGCTTGGGATTGAACATGCTCACTTAAACATGCTCACAAAGAGGCGAGTTTTTATGTGAATTCGATGACAACGAACTATGTGATCATTTCACTTTCGTTTCTACCTCTTTGGTACTCCTCGAACTGCAACTTTTGTTTGCTGACTAGGTTGGTATTGCCTAGCTCCGTTTTGTTAGTGTTTTACTCCGTGTTTCTCCCCTCATAACGTTTAAAAAAAAAGTATAGACCTTGTAATTTAGTGAAACTTTCTATAACAGAAATCAATATCAATTTATTAGGTTGTCCTCGTCCCTAAAAAAAGACCACTTGCAAAATGATGTGGACTTTTTATTTTTATTTTGTTTTAATTTTTTATCCTCCGTGAAAAGCTTGCTAAAATAGCAAGCTTTCAAGCAAGCAAAAAGGTTGCCACGTATGACAACTTTTTGACTTTTTTTGTTGTTGTTATTTTAATATTATTTTATTATTGTATTTATAATATAATATGAATGAGATCATTTTTTAGAGTGAGAGAGTATTTTAGGTATGTAGAGAAAATAGTTGAAGAATTGTAAATTTGATGATGTAGAAGTGAGATCTATTTTTGAAAGTGAGAAAATATTGCAGGGATAATGATAGTTTTATTATTTTGTAATTGAATGACATATGTATGAAACTTAATATAAGAGATATCGAGATAGTTTTTGTGTCAATAACTTTTTCTTTTGATTTCTTATGTTATATATATATATTTTTTGAATGCTATTGTTACAATATAGTATCTGTTCATTTGGAAGAGTCACTAGACTACAAGGTCATTTTTTATATAAGAGACAGAAACATGATTATAAAATACAGTACCTAAACTTTTTGGTTTTATCTGTTTTATAAAATGTATTTTCATCTATAGAGCATGCAAAGCTCATATAAATAGTGCAACAGAGACGGTAGAAACAGAGACACCGCTCCACAACTCCTCGATAAGGCAAAGCACAGAAAAGATCAGACCGACCCGGAAGAAGCAAACAGTGGCTTTCTCTTCTCCTGGGTCAGTTCCAAGAGCTGAAATTCAGTCTTCTATTTCTCTCTCTCTCTCTTTGCATTTCCATTGATCTGTTGTTGTTTGTCTTTCTATTGAAATGTGCCTTTGGTAGCTGTCAATTTAAGTGTAGATCTGCGTGAGATGCAATCCTGAAAGGGTTCTTGCAGGGTTTTGATTTAGTAATTCTAGAATGTGGAAACTGGGATTTGGAGATTCACTGGAAATTGATTAACCGATTGATTATCAGGTGGGAGTCAAATTAGAGATTGATTTAGCTAATACAATGTGAAGTGTAAGTAGAACTTTATAATGGGTTGAATTAAAGATTGGATTTTGTCGTTATGGATTTTGTGATTTATTCACTTACTTACATTGGTCTTTTATTTTTGAAGAACTATGTTTATCTTTCATTAGTTGAAATCTAATTTTTAGCTTTAAATTTTGTTTCAATTGACACAGAGCTTTTCCTTTGTTGTTGTTGGAGTTAAAAGGGTGATTTCACTTATTTGGGTATATATCTGATAAGGTGTTACATTTGGGGGGGAAAGGTGTTTGATATAATGATTTGATGTGTATACTTTTACTTTTAGTGCTATTATTTTAGATAGCTTTTCTTTATATTTAAATTAGGCAGCTTAATGATTCTGCTTGTTCCTCCTCTTTATCAGTAATCATTTTTTGCTCCTTTTGATTTTGCTTAATCCATACATTTGATTAACTTTTGTTAAAGTATCAATAGGTTCTTCCTTCTTCGGTACATCTGCCTTTGAATCTGGCATTTCAAATCTGTTTCTTATGTGAAATCAATTCGTGTTTAAGTTTTTAAGGGTGGTAGGTGAATGCTTGGATGCCCGTTATTGGACATATGTGTATATGTGTCTTTGTCATTTTTAAGAACATGAAAAGATGTAAATCCTCATTGAGATGCTATTGTGAATAGAAAATTCTTTTCTGCTGTATTTTGATGTTTGTGTCTTAAGTTTTTCGGCTGAAATCAAATCCGGCAACTGCTGAATGGACATTTGTTTTCGGAGATCAACCTAAGTAAAGATCTATGTGATTACCGCTTCACGTACTTTTTTTTTTTTTTTTTTTTTTAATTTTTTATCAAGCACATAGTTTCTATGACTGAATGATGGGATGGAAAAATATGTTTTCTCATCTAATGCATGCTTAAATTTTTGCAGATCTATGGGGATGGAAGTTATTGATATTTGTATGGACAAAGAGCTTGATAGCGTTGTGAACGTTCAGGATGTTATTTCACAGGATCTAAGTAGTAATCAAGATGTCGATCATGAGCATGCTAGTGTGGAAGGAGAAACCAGTATGCCGGAAGAGAATTCTGAAGGAAAGGAGTATGAAGTGAAGGAGTGCACTGCTGAAACATCAATTCCGATTTCTAGACCTCCTGAAGATGATAAGTTTAAGGAACATGATGAGCCGAGCTCGAAATCTGAGATTATGTTGCCCGAGAAGGATATTGACTCTGAAGTTTCAAAAGCAGCCGATATTAACCCAAAATCAGGAGCTTCTGTAAAAACTGCAACCAAATCGGTTGCTGGAAACTGCAAAACAAAGTTCACAGTTCCTCAGCCGTTTGCTCTGGCAACTGAAAAACGTGCTTCTAATGGAAACCGTCTTGTTGGGAATGATGTGGATAACATCACACCTGTGAATAAGCCATCTCAAACAAACACCTTGCAACACCCAACCGGTACCAAACAAAATCAGGTAGTTGCCTTTGCTCGGCGTAAGTTTTTTTCTTTATTTTGTCTCTTAGTTAATGGAATTTTGTACATAGTTATTGGACCAAGAGGGTTGTAACTTGTAAGGTTAGCTCTTATAGATCACTGATTCCCTTTTTGTGTGCAGTTAGTCTTACCCGTGGCAACAAGAAAGCCACTGCAACCTGATAACAAGAAGCATCCCGATGATGAAGATTCATGCTCAATTACTTCTTTGTATGCCCTTTCTCTTTGAGCTAAATTTATAACATCTCTTTTTTGGGGTCCCTGATTTGGCCCCTTCTCTTCGATTTGTTTTGATTTTTAATAATTTTGTTGACTATGTGAAGTACTGCATCGGGAAGAAAACCTAGGGCAACTGTTGCATCAGCTCCAGTATTTAGATGCACCAAACGTGCAGAGAGAAGGAAGGAGGTATAACTCACTATCCTGATTTTTGTTTTTTGTTTTTACGTTTTAGGTTGTGTTTGGAAACCCGGAAAATGACTTCTGGAAGTCATTTTCCGGGTTTCCCATGTTTGGCAAGGCTTGGAAAACCCAGTCAACGGAAAATATTTTCCGTTGACTGGGGAAAACCAAGCCAATTTGGCGGAAAATGACTTCCGCCAAAATTTGGCGGAAGTCATTTTCCGCCAATGACCAATAATGTTTCCGGCGGAAACCAGACCACTGGTTTCCGCCGGAAATCTTAAAAAAGAAAAAAAGAAAAACAGTGAGGAAGGGGAAGGGAACCAGAGAGAAGTTCTCTCTGGTTCCTTCCGGCGAGGGAAACCAGAGAGAAGTGGGGAAACCAGAGAGAACTTCTCTCTGGTTTCCCTCGCCGGAACCTTCTCTCTGGTTTCGCCGGAAGAAACCAGAGAGAAGTCTGGGAAACCAGAGAGAAGTCCTTCTCTCTGGTTTCCGGCGAGGGAAACCAGAGAGAACGTCTCTCTGGTTTCCCTCGCCGGAACCGTTTTTTTTTTTTTTTAATAATTAATATTATTTGCTTTTAAAAAATAAATTTTATTATAATTTTTTATTTTAAATAAAATAACTAATTATATAAAATGGTTAATTATACAATTTTATCTCATTTTCCGAAAATGAACCAAACACACAAAGACTGTTTTCTGCCGTGTGCTGCCAAACACAAGAAATGGAAAATGTTTTCCGGAAAATGACTCATTTTCCAGAAGTCATTTTCCCGAAGTCATTTTCCTGCTTTCCAATGTGCACAACAACCTTGCTCAATCTAATCTAGGATACAAAATTCTTAGCTAATGAATTTATTTATTTATTTATTTCTGTTGATCAGTTTTACTCGAAGTTGGAGGAGAAACATCAAGCTCTGGAGGCTGAGAAAAGTGAATCGGAGGCAAGAACAAAGGTATTATTTGAGTCACCATCTTCATTTTACTCCTGCTAACCGCTATCTAGGAATACCAGCCCGCCCTCAAAACTCATGCTAAAAACTACTAAAGCAATAAATATATAAATAAATATCGAAATAATGAACCACAGCAATAAGATGTATCCCTTGCGATTTTATCCCTTCCTCAACATTTCAGGAAGAGACTGAAGTAGCTATAAAGCAACTGAGGAAGAGTTTATTATTTAAAGCAAACCCGATGCCAAGCTTCTACCATGATGGACCACCGGCCAAGATTGAACTAAAGAAGGTACTACATTTGTTCTGCACATATAATGGATAAAATGCTTATATGATGTATTATCCTTTCATTGATTCATGTTTCGGAAGCTTCAACAGTATTACATGAAGTATATTTGAATATTTGATTATTGAGTTGCGGTATGAAATGGAAAAATTATTTTGGTAAGACCACGAGGTGTCCTGAGCAGGCCCTAACTGTAAGAGGAACCTTTAAGCCCGTACCATACTCAGACTAATCCCCGTTCGCACCGGGCCGGCCCAATTAAGGGGCAAAGTGTTGCCCAGATTGGCTTTTCCATACGAGAGGGGGTTTGAACTCCCGATCTCTCTTAAGGGATGAGAGTGCACGACCACTCACGCCAACCAAGCTGGTTATGAATGGAACAATATGGATCACCTTTTGACCAATCTCTAACTGCCTCGTATGTATGGCAGGCCCCACCAACTCGTGCAAAATCACCAAAGTTGGGAAGAAGAAAGAGCTGCAGTGATGCAGCTGGTTCAGACAAAGGGACAGGAGACAGCGGCCAAGCAAATCGTCACAGTCTTGGCGTTTATAGGGACAGTACCATGTTCGCTTCAAAGAGTAGAAAACACTGTGCCGATGTCCAAAATGGCACTGAAACTTTCGAACTAGAAGATGATCCCAACCACAACAAAGCGGACACAACCGAGTCCGTTGTGTCTGAGAGACATCAAGAGATAAATGTTGGCATTGCTGTTCATTCTTGATTCATCAGTGAGTTTTTCTCCTAATTTAATAAGTGGAAAGCCTCTCTCCTTTCATCTGTTTCTCTTCTTGTGGTGCTTTTGGTTGCTGTATCAAGCTCTTGACCCCTCTGCAGTGGTCTGTTTATGTTAATTTATGGAAGTGTAAATTTTCTCCTTTAAGTTATATGCCCATCCATATATATTGTGTGAAGAAGAACTCAACCTCACCATGTTGTAATTACATTCATTTCTATGTAAAAAAAAAAAAAAAAAAAAAAAAAAAAAAAAAAAAAAAAAAAGAAACTTGCTACACCTGCTGTAATGTAGTCTTATGTATGTATGTAATTTATTTTGACTCTCCCATACTCGAGAATAAAGTGACATTTTTCGGTATTCGCTCCACGATGAGCATAATCTGGATTTGGTTCTGGTCGTTCTTGTAGAATTTGACTCTTACTCTATCTTGCAATTGTATTAGTAGTTCATTCACCCTGTGCCCTAAGTTGAAAGATTGAGTTATTGTATCAATCTTTTGTGCAGGGCATTTGGTTTCTTTATTATTGAGATTGATTCAGAGTACGACTGTGTCTCACACGAGTCTTTTTTTAGTCAAATAGTCAAATGAAAGTTTGACACAAAGTTCTTAAAAATATGTATGAATTTTATCACTATAAAAAATGTTTTTACATTATCTGAAGAAGTATGAGTATAAGAACAAAATAGAGTGAAGAGTTATCTTATGTTCTTGAATTACAAGAAGTTTTTCAAGGAAAATAATACGTTTCCTAAATGAATTATAAGGTTCTTTCCTCAATTATACTATCAATTATTTATCATTAATCAAATATTTATGGGAATAAGGGTCAAATAGGTCACTGTACTGCACACCAAAGTACAATTATAAGTCATTGAGCTCAAAAAAGATGCAATTAGGTTCCTGAACTACACAAATTTATGCACAATCCTCGGCTGGAGCCGATCTTTGTCTCCTGCCATGTTGGATAAATCACCCACAATGCCTGCGTAGAACTTAAAGTCAAAGCAGAAAGGGAAATAAACATATTAAGCTTTTAACGGTTGGGTATTTACTCTGCTTCTGCATGTGGATGTCGAATATGGAAAACGAAGAGAATTTCAAATAGAACAAGAAAGACAATTCTTCGTGCTGTGTCACATAAACACTACCTTAAAAGCTTAATATTTTTCGATGACGGACCGGCAAACTTTCAACAGGTAAACACAAATTTATATTTTGTATATATGCTCAGACGTGTATGAAAGCAAAGGAAAGAATCGAAGAAGCTTTTTTTTTTTTTCCCTTCGGGCAAGGAGAATGATTAAGTTAGTCAGCTCCAGAAAAATAGGAATACAAATAAAACCAAAATTTCCTTCTTTATGAATGGATTCCAACAACCCCCACACATTCAAAGAAGGAATTGAAGGTTAAGAAAAAATGTCTGAGCAATACTCAAAAGTTGACCTTAATGTTAGTGAACGAGATCTTGAGGCAAAATATTGATTTTTATCTCCCCGCCTGCAGCCCCCCACCATGGCCTACCCCTCTACGCCGGACTCCTCTCCACCGGGCTCTCCCGTTCCACCACTGGGGATAAGCCCATGACTCCGGAGGAAATGATGACGTTATTTCATACTGACTGGTTGCCAAGACAAGCAGTATGTATCTGTTTTCTTTTTATTTTTATCTTTTTATTTTTTATAAAAAACTTTCAGTTCTCTGCTTTTAATTTGCCAGCAAATCCTTTTGAACAGCACAAAATTATTGTTAATATATGTAAAATGGCTATTGATGAGTATCAGAAAAGTAATGTATGTACAGTTTTATTTTATTTTATTTTATTTTATTTTATTCTGTTTCTTTATTCAATTTGATATTTGGTATTTATTAATTATTTTGTCATTTTAGCCAGGAAAATGGGAGTTTGAGAGCGTGCCTGATGATGAGGAGGTAATCGTGGGAGGGATTGTTTATGCCCTCAAATTCCGAGCCAAAAACACGACGGGAGTGTTTCAAGTTATTGGGGTGTGGTTTCCTGGAGGGGGGCTGAAGGTGGATAAATGTAATAGGGTGATGTAGGTGGATGTTTGCTATCTTCACCAAAACATTATTGCAACCATGTGCCTTGTATTACATTTTATTATCCGGTAGTAAAAGTAGTATTGATAGCTAATCTTTGTTTTCCCGGGTCTCCCCTTCCATTTAGATATATATAAAAAAAAAAAACAATTTAACTAATTGTCTCCCACCAAAGGATGCTCATAGGTTCGAAATCTCGGTGGTGAGGACTTAAATTCTTTGATCTGAAAATCTTTGAGAAGGTATAGATAATAGAATATATACTACATTGTAAAGAATCATGAGTATTTAAAAAAAATACTTAATTGTCCAGTTGTCCCTCAACTATACTATTATCATCGAATGTAAAACTAAAAACTAATTAAGACATTTTATACTAGAAAAGCAACAAACAATGTCGTAAAAAATCACCATCAAGAGAGGATGAAGACCATATATTCACATGCCACTACACCAAAAGTTCTTGATATCAATTTGGGTCAGCGCCATAATTCGATGGTAGGATACCAGACTCTACCTTTCAAATCCCAACCCAACAATCCATGCCATAAAAGAAAAAAAAAAAAGAAAAAAAAAATATATATATATATATATATATATATATATATATATATATATATATATATATATATATATATATATATATATATCTCTTTGATCCAAATTAACCTACTCTCTTCATGACTACATCTAATGCTAGACAACATAGTCTCCCATTTAAGATTCTTTATTGCATATTGTCAAGAACATTGAATTGAATTAAAATTCAATTGACAATGCAAAATGTTTCAAGTTCGACTTTCTGTGTGAATTGTCTACTGGCGTTCTTAATTTAAACAAGTCAACTATAGGCAACTTAGGTTGCCTGTTTACCTTCTTGTGGTCTTTTTAAGTGTTAGAGTCACAAGACATGCTTCATTCAAAGTGCACTTTCGAAAATGACTGTTAATTTTCGATCTTGTCAATAGAACGTAACTCACAATAAATTTCAATTAAAATAGTATTATAAGGACTAGAAGTCTACAGTTGAGTGTGGAAATGGGGATAGTGTTTATTATTAGTCAAATGCAGACATGAAATTAAAGCTTGATCAAGTGCAATTATGTTTGTGTATGAGGGTGGGGGTGAGAGATCTTACAAGAGCCAACAATATCGAAATTAAATATACATTACAAAATAATTTAATATACATTTCCGTGAAATGCATGAATCATTGGTTCATGTGTGATAGGGGGATATAATGCACTTGGGAAAGGGGCTTCTGTTAGACTAAATATATCACATGCATCATATAATATGTGATAATAGGACCGATTAACCTCCAGCCATAGTTCTTGAGATGGTTGAACAATTCGGACTGCTGCAGAGATAACACGTATTTTGTCTCTCACTTTACTCAGCTCTCTCTAGATGGTGTATGAGGTATGTAGTTTAAAAAAATTACCACCGATTCTCAGTTAGGTTTGCTGTCAAAGGGGCGTTAAGTTTGAGGACAAAGTTGTCTTTTCACCTATATTTCTTCCCTATTCGTTTACCGTAATGGTATGCCTGCAACATCTCCCCCCCCCCCCCCGCCCCCCCCCCCCTCCCAGATGCTTCTTGAAATCCTCCATCATCGCCTTCACGTCTAGTTTCCTGATCACTGTCACTAGATCCTTTTCTGTATCCACTTTCACCACTTTTTCTTAATCAAGCATACCGCATTCATGGAGTAAAAGGAAATTTTGGGTACATGTATAAGAAAACTTTGTGCCCAAGAATCAACATAGAGAGCTACCTGATAAGTGTCAAAAACACACGTTTTCAAGGTCCATTAAGGGTGAGTTTTAAGCTATAAACAATCATTTGTGTACTATTCTTAGGCCATTTAAGCTAATATTGTGCATTGTGTTATAAATTGCCACCGCACTTTGTATTTTATGGTTTTATAGGTTAAATTGGACGAAAACGAGGCAAAGTGGCATAGGATGAATCAAACCGGGACAACCCGGAAGTTAGCGCAAGGGAGTAAGGTGACCGGAAGCCAACAACGAAGGCCCAATGCGTCGCGAAGATGGACAACGTACGTATCCCATACGCACGTACGTGCTTCGACCAACGTAGGAAAGGAGAGCCTATGGTTTGATTAAATGCCTCCACCGACGTAGGAAAGGAGAGTCTATGTTCTATGCAACCTAGTGTAGGTGCCATTAATTCTTCCTAGGTAGAGTCTTGCATTCTTACATAGGTCATCTACCTTAGGCTACTAGATGCATGAACCCTAGATACATCTATCCAATTTTCGTTTCCTTATTTTGATTGTTTCAATTTTAGTTTATGTTCCTTCCTTCATTGTCCATTGCATATGTTTCCTTTCACATCCCTACCTTGCACCTAATCTTCTTATCAATGCGTTGTGACAACTAATTGTCTTGCATTCTAATCACTCTGATTTGCCAACCTTGAGTTCGACACTCGGGGGTGTCACAACCTTCGTTTACACTTTACCATCTTCAAATTCCATCCCATACAAAACTACAAGATCACTACCCTGTAACAAGAAACAATGGATGAAGGGTCGTCCAAAGACTCCATCTTTGCGGAGAGAGAGAAAGAGGAGTTAATGGTATAATCCACAGGTGGTTCGCCTATCTTCAGAGCTACCCATTTTTTGAAACCCATGGCTTTCGCCATTGACGACCGAAGGCCAAAGCTTCCTTCGTTGCCATTCTCGCCGAAGTAGAGTGACCTCTTGAGGTGGCATTCAGTGGGTGGAAGGATCCGCAAAACTTGTGAGGAAGAAATATAGGTGAAAGGACATCTTTGCCCTAATACTTAACACCCCTTTGACAGCAAACCTAATAGAGGGCTACGAGTGGTAATTTTTTTAAACTAGTAGGACGTCTAGTGGTCGTTTTAAAGTCAAGGGACCGCACCTGGTAATACCTTAATACTCGGAGGACCATTTGAGGTATTAACTCTTTCTCATAGTAGAAATGACAAGTTTGCCCTCACACTTAACGTCCATTTAACACCAAATCTAACGGAGAACCACGGGTGGTTATTTTTTTACACTCGAAAAACGTCTCGTAGTCGTTTTAAACTCGAAGGACTACACATGGTAATACTTTAATACTCGGAGGACCATTGGAGGTATTATTGAATTGAGTTAATACCCAAAATTGTCCTCGACTATAGTGGTTTTTCTCAATTTCGTCCTAAACGACTTTGGTGTCATAAAATAGTCCCAGAGTTTTGTGTTATCGCTCAATATTGTCCTCCGTTTATTTTTCTGTCAAAAGAATGTTAAGTTCATGGATAATTCAGTAATTTTACATTTAGGTCTTCTGTCCGTCTCCTTTACTTCACCGGTGTTCTCTCCGTCTCAATACCTCAAATTGCGACCATTTCTTAACATTAATCACTTAACCATACACTTAAACATTTATAGTGAAATGCAGATTATTATCAATATATTCATATTATACACACAAGGAGATTTGTTCGCATATACACTCGGCGGTTCACGAGAGCAGGTTGGAGGCTGGTGAGGCAACTCGGCGGGCAGGGGTGGACCTCATCTGCGGCCGTCCGGTCGTCGAAAAAGGGGAAATCAACAAAAATGCCCAGAATTCTCCCGGAAGTCTAAATTGATGATCTGATTGGGGATTTGATTCCAGATTGTGCTCTATTCCTTTAAATTACGCCACAAAATAGAGATTGGGCATCTACACGCCAAGCAAGTTCGCAGACTGGATATTCGAGAGTAATCTCAGTAAATTGCTACCAAGGAAAGCGATAGTAAGAATAACAGAGGAGGAGTGGGGGGTTATCTAGCAACAATTGAAAAGGATCGTACCTTGGTGGGGCAATTTGTGAGAGGGAGGCCACCGCTGGATGCGATTAGGTCAAAGCTTCGTCCAATCCTTCGAATAGTGGGCGAGATGCAGGTAGGATCGATGAATGCGATGACTATATTGACTATATTTGACAGAAAAATAAATGGAGGGAGGGAGTGCAGGTCAGAGTTGCAAGGTGGTAGTGAAGGGAGTGCAGGTTAGATCTACGCCACAAATATTTGAAGGGACTGTAAAGTCCAAATTGATGAATATTTGAAGGGACTGTAAAGTCCAAATTGATGTTCTCGTAGGTTTTGAGGAAGAATGGAGGGAGTGCAGGTCAGATTTGTGAGGTGGTCTTCGGAGACGGAGAGAACACCGGTGAAGTAAAGGAGACGGAGAAGACTTTAAATGTAAAATTACTAAATTATCCTCGAATTTAACATCCTTCGATGAAAAAATAAACGGAGGATAATATTAAGCGGTAACACAAAAGTCTGGGACTATTTTATGACACCAAAGTCGTTTAGGACGAAATTGAGAAAAACCACTATAGTTGAGGACAATTTTGGGTATTAACTCTTATTGAATTTAACATAAATTGCATCCGTACGGATCCCCGTTTCCAGAACAAGTTGCATCCACGCGCCGAGCTCAGACGGATAACAGCGAGGATTAACGAAATGAGTGATGTACCGTCAAAATTGACACCGTCGTGATTTCGCCACGAATTCCCATTTTCTCCCTCCCTCCCTCCCTCAAGCCTTCCCCTCCGGCCAAAATTCAGTTAGCCTGTATCTATCTATCAATCTATCTATCTATCTATCTATGTAATCAAATGCTTCTCCAGCTCCATCTCTTCAATCACGTTCGTTAATGCCGATACGAGTAGGTGCGTCCGTCGGCGTACTACAACGCTTATCTTTCGTCGGGGATCGTTAGAGGAAATGGAGGTGGAGTGGTGGGTGGGAATGGTGGAGCTGCTCAATAAGCCAGCGGTGATGGAAGCATTCGTCGACATTTTGGTCTGCATCGTCCCGATTTGGGTGGCGGTGATGATCGGCCTCATGATTGGCTGGTCCTGGCGGCCGCGCTGGACCGGGATTCTGGCTCTCGGCCTTAGGTCTAAGTTGAACCGGATTGTCTGGACCGCTCCTCCCGGGTTCGGTGCTCGCCGCCTCTGGTTCGCATTCACGGCTCTGTCTGCGTTCTCGGTTGGCCGGAGGTTGTGGAATAGTTTCCGTGGCAGGACGCGGAAACCGTCTTCCGAGTCGGTGGATGTTTCGGCTCCGGTGGATGGAGAAGGTGCTGCTTGGACGACCACGGCCTCGGATTTGATTGAGAGGAGGAGCACTGAGGATATTATCCAGTATGTTCTAATTTGAAGCACTTTTGTCTGTCTGTGTGTCTATAAGTGATAGGTCAGTTTAAGAACAATAATACCTATGCATTTATGTTTCTGCTTTATATTGATTTATAGAAATTATAGAAATTGAAGAGCAACTATGGTCATGCTTTATGTTCATTAACTGCACCTTAAGTGCATAAACATTTGAAATATAGAGAATTTAGATATTTGTCCAGTCATTCAAGTAATAGTTTTCTTTTAACTGAAAAGGTAAGATACCTTTCTAGTTTCCATCCACAACCCATATGGAAAAAGAGAAACATAACACTTTAAGCAATCAAATGTTGCCCAGAAGTGTAAATCCAGTGATAGTTCAACAATTTTTTTGGGTTAATAGAGTAAGGTGGTGTTAAAGTGGATAACAACATTGAATGATCCAAGGATTTGTCTGATTTAGTTAAAGCTTTGATATTGCTTTGTCTATGTGATTATTAGATTATGTGTAGAGGAAGTAGCATTGATTACTTCTGTTTGGTTGCATTTTAATGTGGAGATTTAAAGGGAGTAGGAACCTGCTACTTACTTTTTGCTTGGTTGTCATTTTACTAAGATATCAATCCATTTTGGCTGGTTGTTTATAGTGTGCATAGTAGTCATTGTCCATGTAAAGGCAGTATGCATAAATTTCTTCTTGTTTGGTTGTGTAGGTATCTGCAATGAGGTATAGAGGTTTGCATTCCTTTCTAACACAACATATGTGCTTTCTGCATAGCTCTTTGAAGTTTCTAACTACATTGGGAATATTGTCATATAGTTCATGTGATGTCAGAAGTTGTTCCCATTTGTTTTGGGAACAAGGACCATATCTCTCTGTTCTTAAATATAGAGCTTTGCAAAAGAATAACATATATGGTAGAAACAAGCTTGTTCAGGAAAGGTAGTACTTGCAACTACAATTACATAAAGAACCAAATACTTGGAGAAAAATTTCAAGTTTTGTGTGTTTTGGTTGAATGCATGCACCACTAAGTTCTTGCAGGAGCTCTATTTGTGTGATTTTCCACCTCTTATATAAATTTTTGCCCACCTTTGTCATTAATGCTTTATCTGTTCATCCTCTATGAAGGGCAAAAACTACAGGTGAGATTCCAATAACTAACCATGTCTAGTCAATATCTGTTCATCCAGATACTGGCTTAACATGACCATGGCTTCATATAGTAACTCTTGCTTGTGATTCAAACTATTCTTGTTCACTTAGAATATGATGCACCTGATTTTCTTGCTTCCTAACTTACTTTGGAGTGAGTATTGTCTTTATAGTTACAACATCCTCCTAAGCCCTAACAAACTCTCAATTTTTCCACATCCTTTGGTATTGCATATCTCAGTATGAATTGGTATAGGCAACAGTCCAATTGTTTCCTGCAATTTGAACTTATACTTAATTTGATCAAACAGTTGATGTATTTTTGAAAAGATTAGGTTGTATCAGCAATGCTAATCCTGATTTGACAAATATTTTGGGCCAGAAAACTGTCCTATTTTATTTAATGTTGTTAAAGTAACACAGTCCTCTTGGGTTATGAATATTAGCTGTTTAATTTTGCTTTACTGGTTGTGCAGGTGCATTACTGGAAATTCTGGCCAAGAGAAAGAGGATGTAACAGAAAATGATCTGGAACATTTTTTGCTACTTCTAGATGGCAAATATGGGGAGATGGCATGGCAAAGCATGATGGAACGGTCTACTTCAAACATGACATACCAAGCTTGGCGGCATGAGGCTGAGGTTTGTTTAAACTTGTCTTTGATGTATATTTTTTTCCCTTATTTTCTGATCAGCTTTTCCTTCATTATTATAGTTTTCGTTTTGAAAAATGACTAGAATTACATGACTATCCTCTAACCACATTTGTATGTTTAACCTCAATTCTCTTTGTTTCTCTTTCTCCCATACTGGTGTGAAGAGTGACTAGCTTTTCCTCTGTAATTCTTCTGTTTATCTCTTATAGCCAGACCTTTTCATGCTTTCATTAGTTCCATAGAAGTTTGTCTAAAATTTCTAAAATGCATTTATAGCAAATCATGCCTTCTACGGTCATTTACGTGGCTTGCAAAACAGCAAAAGAATGAAGTTATAACCTTGATTTGTGCTGTGTTGACTGCTGAGCCTGTAATCCTAGGCATGGTTCTGCTAGGACATTCTTTGTACACGTTATAGACACATGCACACATGATCATTTGTTTTAATTTGTTTCAAACTTGATACAAGTAAACATGAATCTCCCCTTCCATGTCTGTTCATTTTTTATTATTATTATTTTTTAACTGAATCCCTTTTTTTCCCCAGAATGGCCCACCTGGGTTGCTACTCCGGAGCAAAACTGTGTTTGAGGATGCAACTCCGGAGCTTGTCAGAGATTTCTTCTGGGATGATGAGTTTAGGCCTAAATGGGATCCGATGCTTGCATACTTCAAGATATTGCAGGAATGTTCTCATAATGGGTTCATGATAGTTCACTGGATCAAAAAGGTTTGTTAAAGATGAGAGGTTTCTACATATATCTGCTACATAATTCTATTAATTACCTGGTCCAAGTTAATATGTAACACTCAGATGGCTTGAAACTGCTGTATGCAGTTTCCATTTTTCTGCAGCGATCGTGAGTATATCATTGGTAAACGAATATGGGAATCAGGAAGAGCATATTATTGTGTAACAAAGGTACAAGTTTCTTGAATACGAATTTGTAGAACTTAAACACCAAGCTGCAAATTTATGTTTGTTTCTTGCTAAGTTATATCCTATAATCTTCTATTGTTTGAAAATGTGGGTAGCAGTGATTAAGTTTACCAGTTTATACAAATACAGAAGCACACAGCATCCTATCTAACAGTACATCATTTGCAATCATTTTTTTTAATTGCCGTTAACATTAGTGTGCATGCTGTATATGTTCTAACATGCGAGCTCCAAACTATAGAGTGTTCCATATCCAGCTTTGTCAAAGCGGGACAAACCTAGGCGTGTGGATGTGTACTTCTCAAGTTGGGTTATCAGGCCTGGTAGGTTCTATGATTCATAAACAATTGAATTCCCAAGGACGCTTCATGCAACTTGCCTTGACTTGTTAAAGTTTTGATGTAGTGGAATCACAAAAGAGAGACGGACAATTCTCTGCTTGTGAAGTCACCCTTACCCATTACGAAGACATGGGAATTCCCAAGGACGTCGCAAAGCTAGGTGTTCGTCATGGTATGTGGGGAACCGTTAAGAAGCTGCACGCTGGCTTCAGAGCATATCAGAACATGAGGAAAACCGATGCACCGGTATCAAGATGTGCCACGATGGCAGGAATCACCACGAAACTATCAAGCGAGGAGTATGGTCAGCGGGAGGTCGTGTCCAGGGAAGAGCAAAGTGGTGAGGTTTCAAACGTCGAGCACGGGAGAAATGGCAGCGGAATTGACTGGAAATGGGTGGTAATAGGAGGAACTGTGGCTCTGGTCAGCCTTCACACAGGATTATTAGGCAAAGCTCTGTTAATTGGGGCAGGACAAAGAGTTGGCCGGAAACGAGGAAATCCTAGGTGAGGATTTGGCTCACTTGTGTTTTCCAGAAAACCATCTTCCATTTGTTGTACTAGCTATTGCAATGAATATAAAAATATGATTATATTTAAAATTTGTTTGTTTATTTTTCTTTTTTTTTTGGATTTGAACATTGTGAGTTGTTTATCATGCCTTGTTCATTTGGACATTTGGTAGGCGCTACAACATTATTAAACCCCAAGCCTCACCAGTCACCCCGCCTCTTCTTCTCCTTCAATTCTTGTCCCATTGGCAGCTTTTGGATTGAATTTTAAGATTGTACTCGTGTCGTCTAACCCAGCTTGTTATGTGTTTTTAATATGATATTTAAAAGAATGTTTATGGTGTCAACCGATATTATCATCGCTTGTACCTAGTACAAGTTAAAAAATATTTGATATAAAGCTCAAAATCTTTTTCATTCACTTTAAAGTTGAACGAGTACAAATGGTATAGAAGATAAAGTTATGTTATATTCAAAAATTAAATATTGGGAGAAAATCGCAGCACTAATCAAGGGTCCCCTTATAACCACCCCAATAAATTATTGCACAACTACTCCTTATCTCAGTATATATATCTTCGAGTTTGGACGGACTTAATTCACTGATTCAGTAAGCAGTATTTGGAAGAAGTAATCAATGTTCGAACCTCGACAACAGCAGTGTGCGTACCGATATTTGGTTCTATTTACTAAGCTATTGAGTCACCGTAATTTACATTCTCCTAAATGCTGGGCTGGAGCGTGGGAAGCACTTGGAATTGAGGATTTAACATTTTGGAAAAAGATAAGTATATACATCATTGCGGGTCCCTTGTAACCACCCAATAAATTAATGTACAACTCTCATTATATACATCCTCACCTACGACTATGATGTATATCTACTTTTTATCTTGTTTTACATTATATTAAAGAATGCATGTGATGTTGAGTGAGCTAGGGATGGATTCACCTATTCTTCCATTTTCCGGTACTATTACTGATTATAAGCTCCCCACATTTTCCCGACATATCGTCCGGCGGGAATATAGCGCCTTAGACGATGAGTCCAGGGAGAAGTTTGCGACCGCCGTTAGAAAATTGAAGGAACGACGACTTCCCGTCGATCATGCGGATTATGATCTCTTTAAAAGTTTGCACCAAGCTGGATTCTCCCCTGGAGCACACTTCGGAGCGAGCTTCGTTGCTTTCCACAGAATGTATACTTACTGATAATAATCTCCCATGAATTCTCTGCAAATTTTCTACTTTTTGCCCAAAATTTGACGGAATTGAATTGCTCCTTCTCTAATATCGATCATATCAATAATTTATTTGTATGTTGTATATCAGGTATTTGTTCATGTATGAAAAAATGCTTCAAAATGTGGCTGGAGATTCAACAATCTTCGTGCCTTACTGGAACAGCACGCTAGACAGCGATTTACCCGACCACGCTGCTTATGCCCCGTTTTCTGACATGGTTTCCGGCATGGGGAACCTCAGCTCCGATGTGGACCGGCGGTGGACCGTTTGCCAAACTCTGGGCGGCAAACGTGCGGGTATCACCGACCCAGAATGGCTGCAGACGTCGTTCGTGTTGTACGATGAAAACAATAATCTTGTCAGGATTAAGGTTGAAGATTGTCTGGATAACGAGAAGCTTGGCTACAGTTATCAGGTATATATATATGTCTTATCTTGCAAAAATTCAACTCATACTCTATTTACTCATTTTTCACTTATATTTCTAATATTGTTGTATGTTGAGATATGATTAAAATAACGAAACGTAGCAGGATAGAAAATAAAAAACAGAATCATAACCATGAGGTTCGTCTGTTGGCAAATATTGTGTTTAACTTGGTAAAAAAGTAAGTCTTGTTATTGCCGTGACTGGTAGTATTCGACAATCCTTTAAAGAATTATTAAAGAATTTAGATGAATTTGTTGTCATTTTGTTATACCGTTGGCCACCATCCGAGACAATGTCCAAGCTTCGAGCTCAATGACAAACAAATAATTGTTCACGTCTGGTCAGTATCGTTGTATGCTTCGCATTGAAAAACAGAATTTGCTTTGCGTAACAACAATACCTACTTCTCATACTAAGGCCTTTAGTCTCTCATTTTTGTACTTGGTCATCACATTACTTCGAATATGTCTCAGGAAAAAACATTGCTTCACTCAGGTGCTTTGTAATTCAGACAAGTTATTATATAACGCATCTATCCCGCTATGTATGTCTATCCGAAATAACCGGCCAATGAGCGAACTAGTAGCATTTCAAAATTAAATGCACTTTTTTCATTTTCTTTGTTTTTTTTGGGTCACATTTTTCTTAATTTTGACAAATGGGATAGTTCAAAATTGTGTTAAAATTAGCATGCATAAACCCTAGCTTTCCGCCAGGATTTGCCGAATCCAAGAAGCAAGAAGTTCGAGCCGTTCACCGGAAAAAACCCGAGCAGCACCGGATCAAGTCTTCCCACAGCCACTGCCATCTTGCCGGCGACCTTAGACGAGACTGTCAAGTTTTACGTGACGAGGCCGCCGGCGACGACGTCGACGAAGAAGAAAGAGACGGAAGACAAGGAGACGGTGCTGAATTTCTACGTGGAGTACGATGAGACAAAGAATATTAGGTTTGACGCGTACCTGAACGAGAACAAGGACGCGAATTCGCTGGAGGTCGAAATGGCAGAGTTCGCCGGAAGTTTCATCAACTTCGCGTGGCCGCGCCAGGGATCGGAGAAGACCAAGACGACGACTACTTGGAGCCTGGAAATCGCCCAAGTGCTTCAGGACTTGGCGCTCGGCGGCGAGAACAAGATTCCGGTGACTCTAGTGCCAAAATGTGGCGGTGATTCGGTAACCGTCAAGAGTGTCGACATCACTGGTTAAGATTCACACTGCACTATGAACTCTGGTTCATGTGTTTGTGTTTTACGTTATGAAATATTATACGTGAAACAAATTAGTAATTGTGTCTTGTCTTGTGAAATTTTGTGCCTATGAACATAATATGTATCTAAATCATATTTGAAAAATAAGTAAATATATAATATATGTATATGTTTTATGTTATGATTTTTTGTATCTTGTGTTATGAAATTATGCATCTTACGTATATGAATTATGTATCTCGTCATTTCAGTCCAGCTGGGTCCATAATGCTATGTTATGTGTTTTCTTGATATTTTGTATTTTGTGTTATAAAATTATATACTTTGCGAATATAAATTATGTACCTTGTTGTTTCAATCCATGACCCAGGCGCTACAACATTCATTATATTATATTAAACCCCAAGCCTCACCTCTTCTTCTTCTTCTTCAATTCTTGTCCCATAGTTTTACTTGCACAAGTTGGGTTTGAATTTTAAGATTGTACTCGTGTCGTCTAACCCAGCTTGTTATGTGTTTTTAATATGATATATGAAGTTTGTGGTGTTGATCGATATTAGTATTGGGCTTGTACCTAGTACAAGTGTAGAAGTTAAAAAGTATTCCATATTTGATACAAACTTAAAATCTTTTTCATTGATTTTGAAATTATACGAGTATAAGTGACACAAAAGATATAATTATACTAGTCTCTGCCAAAGATGAAGATACGAAGAGTCTCTGCAAGCTATGCTATTTAGTACAAAATTCCAATATGAATTAAATGAGTTTTAATACATGATGGAACTCAATTTTCTACTCCCAACAAAAATGTCAAGTCTAATTTATTTATTTTTTTTAGGTCTAAATTTTGAATGAGGAAATAAGGGTAGAGGATAGAACTCGAGAGTCCAAGCAATGAGTATTATCTTTCGAATTAAAATTGTTGGCCGCTAGCCAGGGCCGGTCCTATCATTTTATAGGCCCAGGGCATAGCAATAAAAATGGGTTCTATATTAAATTATATATTCTTATAACTAAAATTTAAATTAAATAAGAAAAAATATTAATGTCAAATAATTTAAAATAAGATTCACAAGTTTTTAACAATTATACATACACATGAAAATAATTCTAGATGCCTTCCTAAATCCAAAATAACCAATAACCGCATCAATACTTTCATAAATAAAGAATTATAGTTTATAAAAACGAATAAATAACTTAAAACCATATGAGCTTATAGAGTTTCACATTAGTAATTTTTAATAAAAATGTATAAAACAAAACTTAATATAGGAGTTTAGCATAAAATCTTAATTATTGGAAGCAATAAATAAAAAAGCTTCAAACATGATAAAAGATATTCATAATAAAATATAAAACATAATTAATTGGTAAAATAGTTCGAATAAAAAATACATAATAAATCGCACATATTCTGTATTGATATAGATATTTATAAATACTTTTTCTTTTAGTTATATCAATTTTTAAGTTTTTTTCTAAATGCATAATTATTATAACAATAAAATTATAAAAAAATACTTAGCATGCTTGGATTTTGCATTTAACTCATATATATCCTAAACAAATTGCAATACTTCAGGCAATTTAATATGAACCTCAATATTAAATTAAAATTCAAAGAGCAAATTCAATACATAATATTTGCTAAATATTGAATAGTAATTTAATTATGAATTTAATGCCAAAAATTAAGAGGGAACTAAAGGGCATTAATATCTGAAAACAAGCAATTACCATATATTTACCATTTGCTAAAAGTAATATTCAATATTAATTAAGGAAATATTAATATGGTAATATCAAACCAAATAATTACCATTTACCAAAATTAATATATATAATATTAACTAAAGCAAACATTAATATGGTAAATAAATATAAAATAATGGTAATTACCTTAATGACTTGCGTGTTCTCCCAGGAAACTCCAAATCAAACAACCAAAGCCAAAACAATGGATATAATTAATATTTCGAAGTCCAGATGAAATATGAAAATAACTGTGCTTCATGTTGAATTTTTTTTTTTCAAAAAAAAAAAAAAAACACACAACTACAGTACGTTAATTCATTCTACACATACAAGGAAAATTATATAATTGTATGCTGATTTCGAAATATTAATATAAAACATATACGAAAAACCCTTAATGTATATGAAAGAAATTAATGTTGATCGTAGGCAACTCAATCAACCAGACAGAGATTATAAAGGCTCTGAAACCAAATGTTAGATACACAATAGTCTAACTATAATAAACCATAGTATACGAGAAACCTAACCTCGTATGATAGCGGAAGCGTAGCCGTGTTGATCTCCAGCCATAGTTGATGTTCCTGTTGTGTTGCCTCTTAACGGTAGACCATCAGCCATGTTTTGCCTCAGACCTGACTCAGAACCCTAGATGGTGTATTGGTGTCTACTGAGCGGTCTGAGTACCGTAACTGAATGTGCTATCTAATCCATAATCCTGTATCCCATCAATAGGTTTATATTAGGCACAGAGTTTGGTTGACTAACAACTACTAGTTATTAAGTCCAACCAGACCACTTAATAAGCCTAGTCAACTTGCACCACTTAATTAAGGCCCTAATATATAATATCAATATATATTATAAGGAAATCTTACATTTTTATATTAATTTGAATACGATGACGTAAGATAAGATTTTTAAACTACATTGACTAGATAATTCATAAAAATAAATAATAAAAAAACTAAACTATATTTTGAAATATTTTTCATATATAACTAAATCAAAAATTATATTATATATACATAATTCATTATAAAGTTCATAACATAACACATATTTTAAATATAAGTAGTAAATTACTCTAATAAAAATAGATTCAAAATTTGATATGAATCACAAATGAATCTATATTATAAATCTCACTATAGTTATAGAAAGGTAAAAAAAATCACAAAGTTACAAATTAAATTAAAAAAATACAAATTAGAAATATAAATAGAGTAGGGAGGAATATATACACAACTCATTATAAAGTTCACAAAATAACACATATTTTAAATATTAGTAAATTACTCGAATAAAAATAGATTCAAAATTTGATATGAATTACAAATCAATTTATATTTTAAATCTCACTATAATTATAGAAAGATAAAAAAATCACAAAATTATAAAAAAAAATACATATTAGAAATGTTTAATGTGAAGGTATATATATATATATATATATATATATATATATATGAAGGGATTCAATCCCTTGAGATTGAATACAAGGGCCAGAAGTCTTACCATCTCAACTATCTCTCATTTCAATAATAAGAATGTATAAAAATTTATTATACAAAACATCTGTAGTATATATGAAGGTAATAAAATAAGGTGGTGGGCCCCTTTCAAGTGTGGGCCCTGGGCAAGGGCCCTGCTATTAATATTGGTGAATATCCATTGGTTTAGCACTGGATGGATAGTTATGTTGTGCATCCGTATGCACCATGCATGGAGCATACGGATGCAAAAACGACGTCGTTTTATTAAAAACGCGCGTCTCTCCTTAAAAAAAATTCAGGTTCGATTCTCAGCAACAGCATTATGTTGTTCATTCATTCTAGAATTTTAGTTCATAGGTTATGGAATTTTAGTTCATTGATTCTGGAATTATAGTTCATCGATTCTGGAATTGTAGTTCATCGATTCTGAAATTTCAGTTCATAGATTCTGGAATTTTAGTTCATTCATTCTGGAATTTTTAGTTCATAGATTAGATTCTGGAATTTTAGTTCATAGATTCTGTAATTATAGTTCATCGATTTTGGAATTATAGTTCATCGATTCTGGAATTTTAATTCATATGTTGTTGCTGGGAATAGAACCTAAATTTTTTTTAAAGGGGAGACGTACGTTTTTAATAAAACGACGTCGTTTTTGCATACGAATGCACAACATAATTTCCCGCACTGGATTAACACTCCAATAAATTCATTTCATTGGACTTTTTGGACTCTTCCACCCCACTTTTGAAAATCCATTTCATGAGAAAATATTATGTGCATTCTCTTTTTTTTTTTTTTTTTTTTTTTTTTTTTTTACACAAAAAATTTTGATGTAAACACTTGCATTGAGATTCATATAAAAAAAAAAAGTAATTTATCAGTGTCTGCCACATCATAGAGTAAGATTTGAGAGTCCATGTAGTAAACTCGATCTTTCAGATATTATTGTCTAATAATATATATCTTTGTTGGACAATAGGCTGGATAACCACAAGATGTCAAGTTAAATTCTCGATAAGAGCAATCTAGACCTTATAAGATATAGGAACTAAACAAATGAATAAAGTCACCAAGAAAAGTTGGAGAAAATAATGCAAAGCCAATAAACCATATATTATTAAAAAAAACAAAAAAAGGTGGAGAAAATAATGAAAAACCAATATTAAAAAGGTGGAGAAAATATAAATCATATATTAAAAATGACGAGAAAATAATGCAAAACCAATAAACCATATATTATTAAAAATAAAAAGATCCTTCTTCTCCCACCAGGTTGAATCCCCGACCTTAAGGGCCCCCACACTCCGATCGACAGAGCATTTGAGAGAATATAAATCATGGTGATTCAATGGTTCAATCAATAGACATGGCCAAATAACAGTGCGCACAAGGGATGGACATAATCCACACACTGCCGCCTTCGAGGTTCCTCTTCTTCTAAATACTGTCTACTGTACTATTGAGCTAAGCAAACGCGGATTTACCAAATCTCAATCACTGAACCATTGAGTTACTAGCTAGTATCACGAGTTTTGGACTGAGCCGATTTACTCTCTTTGTACGCAAAAATGTTACGGTATTAATTTTCAAAATTAGATTGTTCAATTTATTTTTTTATGAGCTTGAAGACTACTGGTTCATGGGATTAAAAGAAAATTAGCAAATTTATTAGCGATTAAGTTTTATTTTTATACTTATTTGTAAAAAAAGATAAGGATAAGTCCCGCTTTTATACTCAGCATTGATTTGAGGTGTTTTCAGCTAAAAGACATTTTTCACATGTTCTCCCATAATATATACATGTCTTTTGTATTTGATGTAAATATATATGGTATATTTAATTATATCAAATATCCACTATACTAAGAGCCAAA